CTGTTCACTTGAACTTATTGACCTTTGTCTAGACATTTTTGTATATAGTTTAATAATACTCTTACCAACCATATTAAAGAGTGACAGAGGTAATCTACGGAATAATGAAGTTCTCACTAATATCCGCCTAATCTGTTTTTCTAGAAAGGCCAGAGCTTGACAAATATCACAAACTAGTGGATCCTGCTTGTTCCCAGACAAGGCTTGTTTATTTAGCTGATGATATTTGTCAAGTCCACTCAGGTACAAACGGTAACCTGGAAATTATCCAGGAGTTATAAATGTGAAAAGTAAATTTCAACACCACCCTTTGAAGTGCTCAGGCCAAAAACTAAGGCATCATCCTTGCCTCTTCTCTCTCTCTGATAACCTCCAAAGAGTTAGCACATCGTCTTGGCTTCACATTAAAATGTAATACAGAATTTGACCCTTTTTCACTACAACCACTACTTTTAACCATTCCCGACTAAACCACCAACTCTTGCTAGATTATTGCAGTGGTCTCTTAGCCTTGGGGGAGACTTGTAAGTAGAAGGTCAATATCACAATGAAAGATAGCTACAAAATCTCTATATTCCTTTACATTTGGGGGCGGGTTGCCTCTAAATTTGTCAGAATATGTGATTATAACAACAAGAAACCCATTCAAACTTGTTTACAAAAAGAAGGAAAGACAGTGTAGCCAGTTTTCAACCAGGAATAAGGACTGGGAACTGGAAAGTGAGAAATGGAGACTCTACTCCACCCTCTGAGAGTCACTTCTCTGTAATTTGTGTGTCTGTTCCATTCTCCCATGTTCCATCTAAATGTGGGTACTCTCAGCTTCAGTCCCAGCTCTACATGATTTTCTAGTTCAGACATATTAGACTCTTTATGATTCAACTCCAAATTCCCAGAAGAAGATGATCTCTTGCTTGGCTTAATTCAGGTGTCTGCCTCTGATCCAATCAGTTTAGACCAGGACACATGGTCACCTGATCAAAACATGGTTGCCCAGGCCAGGCATTTCAGCAGGACCTAGGGGACCCATTTAGAAAAGGGGGCAAACACACTAATTAATATGTCTCCTGCAATTTATGAATAATTTAAATTCAATAGCCTGTTAAATGGTGCAGTGTATCAATTATTGTCGTGCATACATCCTTTGGGACTCAATAAACAGCAATTAATTCTATATAAATGAATGCTAGCAGGTGAGATAGATGTGGTCTCCTTTCCAGAAAGTTTTTGCCAGTAACATAATTTCTCACTAAAATATTTATTTTCAGTTTCTATTTTATTCCCCTCAATCAGCATCTAGCTGCCCCTATGAGACCAATAACAGAGCCTTAGTTAGCCTGGTAGCCTTTAAAGAAGATAATGAGGATTGGCGGATTCAGGAACATTATGAATTCTCTGTCTTTGGTCTTTGGCCTTCCATGCTGAATAATTTAATGAGCTGCCTTTCTTTTTGTATGTCGATTCTTTTTTTTTTCTCCCTTTAAATTTTCAGTGTATTAACTGAGTATTGCTTAGAGCTGTCCTGACTCAGCTAAACGTAATATAGTTATCTATAATTTGTCAGTGGTATATATTTTATGTCATCGTCTCTTGGTCCATTCTTCAACAAGCAGGTAAGAAAGAATTCCATCTAGGAGGATGTCACCTACCCAAAGGCAGAAAGCTATTGAATTGCTTGGAATCAACAGAGTGATTCATGCATTAAACAGAACAAGCAAAAAAATAAATAAATAAAACTTTGTTGAGAAATTATTATGGGTAAAACTCTCTGCTATGTGCTACATTTTAAAATGAATAATATGTATTATTAAATTTTAATGTTATTCTAAACTTAAAATTAATTTAAATTCTTAAATTTTGAATCTTAATTTAAAAATCAATTGATACTTACTTACCAGAAATATAAATTTGAAGATCCATTACTTTATCTTTGCTATCATAAAGGCAGATATTTGGGGGCATTTTTTTTAACCTAATAGAATTCTGGATATGTCCTGGTCTCCCTGAGTTTGGAGAGGATGGATTGCAAATTCACAAAGCTAACTGACATTAGCAGATATGCTCCGAATTCACGTTAACTGCCACGTGTCCTCTATGAACCAAAGTTTTGGGAATGCCAGGATGAGTTCATAATCTGATGAGAGAGATGAAGTGTGGAAATCCAAACAAAAATTCCAAAGTAAAAAATTTAAAAATTGGCTTAAATTGGAGATCTCCTGAGGTCCCTTTTACCTAAAAGATACTGATAGTAGAATGGAAAAACTGACATTTGTGAGTATCTACTGAGTGCTAACCAATGTAGTAACAAGTGCTAACCAATTTTACATTTTTTTTCCAGTTTCTCCTCACAAAAATCCTAGGAAGTATTAATCTCATTTTACACGAGGAACCTGGATTTCCCTTAGGAAAAATAAAGAATTTGCCCAAAGTTGTACATATAACCAAGGCCTGGATTGAAATTTGTCTGGCAGACAACAGAGCCCAGGATTTTTCCACTATACCACAAGGCCTCTCAGCAAGAAGTTGTCCCTTCTCCAAAGAGTTTTATAATCCAGTGATGACAAATTATCCAACAAATCCATTTTCAACCTATATGAAAAAGTGGATCATAAAATTCCTTGAGGAAATGATCTGTCTTGCAATCCCCCCATACAAAGGCTTTAGTATTAAAAAACAAACAAACAAACAAACAAACAAAAACCCTTCAGGTACTTCTGATTACCTCCCACCTGCCTTCCAATGCTCTTCTCCCTCCTCTTCACCTGGTCAACTTCTACTCATCTGAACTCAACTATGGTGAGTATCACCATTTCCAGGCCTTCTCTGGCTGGTTAAATTTCCCTCTTTAGTCCAACTTGTGCATGATTCCATCAATGAACTCATCACATTGTTTTATAATTACTTATTTATGTGAGGTTCCCCCCCTGTGGTGAGCTTGTTGAAAGCAAGCATTGCATTTTTTGCATCTTCAGAACCTAGCACAATGTCTCATAGGCAAGCAAAGTTTTCAGAGCACTAAAGTAGTAAACAAAAAATTCAGAACCACTTGGAAGTAGCTTAAGAAAATCTTCAAATTTGTTTTATTGTTCGTTGCACCCAGTGAATTAACTGAGTAATTCAATAAACATTAAACCACAATACAATTTTATAGATTCTAAGTGTGAGACCTTGGATGCGGAAGCTCCACAGAAAACTACATTTCCCGAAATCCCTGAACCCCAGTCGTAGTTGATTTGCTGACTGTTCTTGAAGGCCTGTCACCTTAACCAATAATGTGACGAGAATTTCCTGGCACGGGGCGGAAAGCGACCAATCACAAGGAAGAGGGTGGGCACTTCTGATTTCGGTTCTCAAAACGCGTTATATCTCTTCTGTGGCTCCTCGCGGGACCATAGGGGCGGGGTGTCATTAACCTGGGAGAGTGTCCTTCCTCTGCACCCCACTGGACTCCACCCTACGAATTCGAATTAGCCTTTATGCGCTCCATCCTTTCGTTTTTCTAGTTTCCACATTTCCCCACGTTCTTCCTAATCAAGTACCTCTATTTTCCATCCGCCTTTCCTTGTTGAACGCACTCTCAGAGAGGTAACGACACCATGAATCTCCACCTTTCCAAACTTGAACCAGATATTTATCTCTAAGCATCCAAGCGAGATTGTGTCAAGGAAGTAGCGGAAAGGTCTGAGTAAGAACTTCATCCTTCCCTCCTTTCCCCTTGCAGAAGCTACTGGGAGATTGCTTAATGGATAATCAGCATTAAAGGCGGATTGAAGGCTCCGAAATGAGTGACAAGCGAGGTGTTTACTTCCACCCTCGCTCCCGCCTTCATCCCCACCCACCCTAGCGTGCAGATTGAATCCAGGGGTGGCGTGCCACAGGTCGGGACAGACACCCAGCCCTGGAGCGGTTCCCCGTTGGCAGCCTATTCCATTCTAGCAGCTCCCTGCCATGGCCACGCTTTAATCCTACCAACAGTTTCAGGAATGAATTCATTTTCCCCCCTCTAGGTTTACCTCCTTGCCCAGTACCTTTCTAGGTCTGCCATCCTCTTGCCACAGGCATACTCGTTGTCTAGACGCCTTTTCAAAAAAAAAAAAAAAAAGCAAAAAACAACCAACCAAACAAACAAAAACCAAACCAAATCCAAATCTATCCAAAACAAAGCACATCAATAAAGCAACGATAATATTGCAGCCAGCAGCCGGGAGTGTGTACCTCATTAAAGGGTAAGAACATAAACCCCCGCTATAAAGACCAAATTTAAAAGGTTTCCTGCTGCTCGTCAGTCGACAACATTTTTACTGTCCCAGCTGCAAGCGAAGCAGCTGCATACTCTAGAAGGGTGATTGGGGTGGCAGAAATTTAGCCATGGTCTGGGATTTTCGCAGGAGATAATTTAAACCCCAGCTCCACTCCGGCGAAGGAGGGGGTTGCGGTGCGCGTGCGCATGCTCAGCAGCCCGCTCCGCGGAGCCCCAGCTGCCGCCACCGCCGCGGCCGGCGCTGTAACCGCGGCTGCCGCTGCTGCTCCGGGCGGGCGTTGGTGCCGTGTGCCGAGGCGCCCTGTCGGGAGAGAGGGAGCGGCCGGGCGGGAGCGCGGGCGGCGCCGGCGCCTGAGGAAGGCAGCCGGGGCTCTGAAGAAGCGAGGGCGGGCCGATCCGGCGGCGGACGCGCGAGGCGGAGAGCGCGGGGACCCACCCCGGGCGCCCTGCGTGCGATGCCGGCCGGGCAGCGGCGCTGAGCGGCTGGGAAGCCGAGCGGCGGCCGCGGACGGAGAGCCGGCGACCCCCCGAGAAGACGAGCAGGAGCAGGAGCAGGAG